TGGCAATATAAATAAACTACAGCATTCATCTCATCTGTAACTACATTTACCAAGTGTAAGCAACAAACTCAGAAAAGTGGCTCAGTAGCAATTGAGTTCTTAAAAACAAAATCTCTGAAAACACTTTATGTAACGCCTGAAATACATTTTTCCAAAATCACAACCAACTGGTGGAGTACATTTCTCTTATCACATCCAGAGGCCTGGCAAATCTTGAGCTGATCTCTTTTCCTCTATCTTATATCCCAACTGTATTTGAAAGAATTCTCTGTTGGTTGAATTAATTTTATCTTTGACAAAACAGGGTCTTTGAAGCGATGTCTTGACTTTGTGCAGGCAAAGTCTCAGTTTCTAAACTTCAATATCTGCGAGAGTCAAAGCCCTCAGATAACAGAATGCTTTGAAGTTTTCAAGTGACGGAGCTTTCAACCAGCCCAGCCTCGAATTCAGTCTCATTACTAATGAGGATGTTGAGTATTATACTGATGGTTTATTTTGATGATGCCTTTATCATCATGAAATGAGAATGACACAGGAACATTCTTCCAGTACACAGAAAGAAGAAAGGTGGGTCAAGTAAAACCAGAAAGCTGAATGTGCTGGCTCTGGGCATCACTGTCCCAAGGTCCACGCCAGTGAAATCCTGTCTCACTTCCCAGTGCGGTTTTGGGTCCTCTCTGAATTATGTGTCACAGTCAAGACACATGCATATTTCAAAGGAGACAACCGGGCCAGCGAGCTGGGACCTGTGAGTGTGTCCCGGGGCCCCTGTGTTAGGGGAAGGACGTCCTGAACGAACTCTACAGATGCAGGTTTTGTGGACTCCACCCCAGCCCAGACATCAGAGCTACAAACCCCAGCATCACCCAAGGGAGGTGGTGGGACACGAAAGAGGGCTTAGGCAGCCGTGTTTCTTATAAACCAGACACGTGTGCTTTGGGGGTCTCTTGGCCTCGTGGTGTGTGGCTGAGCTCTTGGCTTTTTGCCAGCTCTCAGCGTGCTATTGGGGTTCCAGGTCAGCAGAACTGGTAGGACACATTCACCAACTTACCTCTCTGTCTCTCTTTCCCTGAGTTATTTATTTCCCTTTTCCTTGTAAATAAAACCACGATTAACTTTTTTTGTTAGTGCCTGCATTAAATCTTATTATAAGTCCCTTTTAAAAGCACACGGTTGAGGACCCAATCAGGCCCCCCAATTCACATGGGGGTGTCCTGGAACACCTTTGCTTTTTCTCATCTCCAAATGCCTGGAACCTCACACAAGTGACTGGGGATACTCCCAGTGCTGAAAAGTGCTGAGGTCTTACTAGGAAGATACCTCTCCACATACCTGAGAGAGAAGGGTACCCCATCTCAAGAGAAACAGCACATGCAACTTCAAGTCACAGCAGCATGAAGCTGGACCTTCAATAGTCTTATCCGGAAGAGAATGTTCCACTTACAAGTACTCACCACTAGACTCTTTTTAAAAAAACTATTTCTTTAAAGCATTTAAATTTTAATTGGTCTACCTCAGAGCAAATTTTTTACTCTTTCCAAAACCACATAAAACATTCTGAAACTAACTTTTTTATTAAGTGTATGAGTTAGCCTCTTAGTAAAATAAAAATGACAAACTAATAAATACAAAAAAGGAAACAAAATTCCAGTAAATTCCTTTAAAATACAGTAAGTGCCACAAAGAATATTTTTCTTATATTATACTACTCTCTGTATCGCCTCAATTTTGGAATGAACTGATAAATTCTACTTTTTACAGTAAGATGCATGTATATTTTAACAATTATTTTAAAGCCTGGTAGTTCAATTACCCAGGCACTCTTAAATGGAGTCAAGGTAGAAAGTTTAATACTTTTTAGTTGTATTAAAGAGCAAAAGCCAGAAGCTCATCCTCAGTGCAACTCACTTGTTTCCATCTCCAAGCGTAAGCATCGCTTACACGAGGCATGCAAAGCAATTACTTCCAAGCAATTTCAAGCATCTGATCCATTAGCAAATAGACATGCATGTGCAAAACTGGAACATTTTCCTTGAGGGACAGTCTTATCTGTGGGTTCACCCAAAGTTATAGGAGAGACCTAAAGCCCTCTGCATATTTCTGAGGCTTCACAGCAACGGCCCAGGAACGCAAAAGAGAGAGTCTTATTTCTTGCCCCTCTCCCTCCCAGAAAAAAGCCTTTGCTGATTTGCATAATCTAAAATGGCTAGGTAATATAAAAGTGCATTTCCACATAACTTGCTTTTCACTTTGTTTTTTTTTTTTTTTTGGTTTGGTTTGGTTTTTTAACGTGTGAAGAACTTCTAAAATCACCAGACACTGACTCTGGAACTCCCAACGGTGATGGGCGGCGGAGGCCAGACTGACAAAGCCACCTTCAGGCTTCTCTGGGCTGTCACCTCTCTGGGCATCACACACAGGTCTTCCTCCACAGGAGTAAAGAGTGCAGGGTAGGAGGCACGGAAGGTTTAACTTGGTGCAGAGGTTTAACTCTCGGTGTGGAGCTGAGGGCTAGGACTGACTAGAAAGCTAAACACGCCTTTTCACAGCTGTATGGCTGAGCATTTGTGAGCATGTGAATGAGCTGAGCAAATATCAGATGCACGAGAGAATGTGTGTGTGAGAGTGAGGGCATGTGAGGGTGTGTGCGAGGGTCTGCATGCATGTGAGAGAGGGTGCTTGAGGGGGCGTGAGCACGTGTGAGGGCGTGTGAGTGAATGTGAGCGAGTGGGGGGGCCCCCAAGATGGGGTGTGAGTACATACAGCCGGTGAGGGTGTGAGCCCCTGTGAGGCAGGGCGATTCAGGCCGAAGCAGCCAAGTCCAGAGAAGAGAAAAGCGTGTCGGTGTTACAGAGCCCCAGAGAGTGGTGGTTCAGATGTTGTCTATAGAACACTGAAAAGCCCAAGGACCCAGTGGATACAAAAGCCTGGCCTCCTGTAGACATAATACCAATGTCAAGTAATCCAGTGGTTTCTGACCCTCAGAGCAGATGTTTGATGTCATAGATAAGGCTGCGCCGTAACAACATGTACGAGAAAAAGGAAACAGCTTACCATGCATCACGCCGGCAAGAGCTCCAAGCCCCTGGCATCCCGTAATTTCCAGTTGGCTACCCACCCTCCACCACACCTCATTCCAAACACACACACGGTGCTCTCCCACCCGCCTCATGTGACTCAGGGAGCAGAGCTGGCTGGGGACTTTTCCCTGGCTCTCCAGGTGGTGCATGAAAACCTGCTTAAGGGTGGGAGGTAGGTTGGGCAACAGGTCGACCTCGCCGCGCCCTCTAGACCTGCTGGTTAGCTTGAGAAGGCCACTCAGCCCTCTGGCTTGTCGCTTCGGCCAATGGAAAAAATATATATCAGCTGTCATTATTTATCTCCCTTTTAGCTCACATCCAGACAAGAGACCTTTTCAAACATCAGGACATACAAACGGTTTTTGAGAGCCAGCCAATAGGAGGTGCTAACCCACCACTAGAAATGGCAAATGGAAAATTGGCAAACAAGTTAAGCAACTTTGCTGGCCGACTTTGGCTGACTGCGCTGGAGGGTTTTAAAAGAAAATGGAGAGAGGAACAGACGAACGGCTCATTCGCTGGGCCCTTAGCTATAAGCAAGCAGGCGGAGAAGTGTGGGCTGTGTCTTTAGTGAGAAGCATTTTCCACCCGCCCTTTGTGAGCACCCTTCGGTAGACCCTCCTCCTTTAAAGGGCCGTGCCGTGTCGGGGCCCCATCCTGGACACAAAATGCCAGGCCCACGGAGCCACATTTTGCATATACATTTGCCTCCAGATCATCTGCAGGAGCAATTTCATGAAAAGAAAGGCCTGACAGTCAAAAATACAGGCTGTGATTTCTGAAGCGACAGCCAGGAAAACATGCTTTGGCGTCCTCAGAAGAGAACAAGTAGAAAGAAAAAGCACTCCGCTGCTGTGTTTTAAATTATTGAGGTACTATGGGTAACTGTTGATATTCAAGATGAAATCAGAGGTACCTACTGCAATCAGATGCAAGCTCCCCCCACCCCACCCCAGGTCGCTAAAGAGCCAGCTCCTTGGGCAGTGACTAGAAAATTCCCTCTCCTCTGGGAAAGCTAAGAGAAAGTCCAGATCTTTGCAGAAGTGTTAACTCTGACATCTTCAGGAAAATACTCTGATTCTCCCGAGAGTGAAAACAGCCTCAGACTGAGATGAACCATGGAACAGAAAAAACACTTGGACTATGGCTGTAACCAGAACAAGATGTCCATACGACGGATCAGAAAAGATGCATTTGAAAACATATCTGTAAGGTACCGGCATCAGCTGACCAGCACTGCTACCTGTTTCAGGTAATATGGCCTAACACAACTTTCTAATATTAAAGAAACCATCGGCTTAGCTCAAAATATGGCTGTCGGCATAATTCACCCAGCAGAGTGCTCCTCAGGAACCGTGGTCCAGCGAACATGCCACTGACTGAACTTACTGGAACTCAGCAGTTCTTCACCCACAGACCAGCCCCAACCACATCCACAGATTTCAGGGCCCTGCCAGAGCCTCGTCACTTACTTTTCTGGGCTTTTATTAGAGGCTGCGTGAATTCAAAGACAACCTTGTCATTTCCCTCCACCTAAATGATCGCAGAATTGAGGGTTTCCCCGATCTGACAAGAGCTACATTCAGCTCTGCTCGGTATCTTGCAAGATTCATCGGAAGTTTTTGGTGACGCAAATATATCTTCCCAAGCAAGAGTGGGGACCTACCCAGGGGCCTTAAAAAATAGCTTTGGAACGATGTGCTCAGAAATAGCAAAGGAAGAGTGACTTGCTTGACTGTCCAGGCTACCAAGATCACTGTCGCGAGCATGCTCCCTAGCAACCACCATACACAGAACCCCAAGTTTCGAGCATTCCCAGGGCCCTGGTCAGCGTCTTCATGACGAGTAGGCAATAAGACAGGTGACACGCGCAGCACGCAAGCACCACAAGCTCTAGAAAATTCCCAAGACTAGACTTACCACTCGGGGCTTCTGTTGGTCCAGGGTGTGCAGGAAGGCGGCGTTGGGGTCCAGGGAGCGCTCGGGGTCACTGGAGATGTCCTCCTCCTCCGAGTCCTCGTAGGAGGAGGAGAAGCCCGTGGAGGAGGCCGAGGAGGACGACAGCTTCCTCAGCGGCAGGCTGCCCAGCGGGCTTCCCTGAACCTCCTCCAGGACCCCGTCCTCTGGGGCACCCATGTCCGTGATGATGACCGCGGGGATGTTGCTGTGGCTGTGCAGCTCTCCCGGAACAGGCCTGTCCTGCTGGTCCGCACAGAGCTGCTCTGGGGCGGGGTGAGGCGCTCTGTCCTGCGGCTGGTTTTCCCAAGTCCCCTCCAACGGCACCCTGGTGCCACACGTCCAGGTCAGACTGGCCTCCACGGGGCCCAGCCACGTGCTGGCACCCCCGGGCCGCACAGCTACCCGGCCGGGCGGGAGGCACTGAGGTTCTTCCAGGTCTTTTGCGGTTTTCCAACAGGGCAAAGGCTCCAGGATCTCACCAGAGGGAATTCCTGCCCCCCGCTGTGAGGACTGGCTGCCCCCAAACAAGCCCAGCATGGGGGCCCCTTCCTGCACTCTGCTGGAGCATTGCTGAAGGCCCCCCTCTACGGTCCCACTCTGGGTCGCCTCCCCACCTGTGGAGCCCAGGTCTCCTGGGGGTCTGAACCGGCTAGGGGCCCCCGGGGGCTCCTCCACATTCACGGTCATCACCTCCGGACTGCCATCCGCTTTCTCTCCCCCAGAGTCTGGCGTGCCACCGGACAGAGTTCCTTTCCCCACCTTTCCAGGGGGCTCACCCCTGAGGGACCTGCCCCTGTCTGGGGCTGGGCTCGTCTCTCTGCCCACGGCACCCCCCTGCCGCTCCCCAGGGCTTGCACTCTCCAGTTTGGGGGCTCGCTCTGTCCACTCCTCCAAGGCAGGGTCCCGGGCCCGGTTGGCAGTGGCTCTTGCTTGCGTTTCTGTGGCCACGGCCAAGTTCATTCCAACCAGCTGGATCGAAAGAGCTTGGCAGCTCCGAGGTCCCAAAGGCGCAGAGACCCTCTGGTTCGTTTCCACGGCCACAGGTGAGCCACAGTGGGGCCTGGGGGGGGCGCCCTGGTCCTGGTCCACTGTCACCAAGGCGGCTGGCGCGGGAGTCTCCGCCGCTGACCCGGGGCTCGCGCCAGGAGCTGCGGCTCCCTCCTTGTCCTTCCCGGGACGCGGGCTGGCCGTCCCGTCTCCCCACCCGGCGTCCGCCGCTGCCGTGTCCGCACATTGCGCCTCGCAGGACCGCGTCCTCCGGCCCTCGCTGGGCGCCGGAACCTGACCGGGGGGCTGGCTGCTGCTGCTGCGCAGAGGACAGGGCGAGGGCGAGCGCGACCTGCCCAGGCGCGGGCCGCGGGGCGCCTGGGCGGCGGCGCTCTGCGCCTGGATGTGCGCCTCGAACATGTCCACTTTCTGGTTCACCTGCACGTTCTGCAGCTCGCGCTGCCGGATCCGCAGCTTCCTCTTGGCCTCCTCCGGCCCGGGAGGGGACAGGGCTCCGGCGCCCGCCACCTGCTGCCCGTCCCCTCCCGGG